AATGAAAATGGGGAAAATTTTGGGAGAAGAGTTTTGTCAAATAGTTTTGATAAACCCGGTCGCTGCGGGTTTACCAACGGGCCGGAGATTAATATAGCCTAGAGAGGACTAGGGAGTCGCCCTATCGTGGTTGAGCTGTTCAGGCCCCTCGATGACGCTGTGGGGTTACCAAAGGTTTAGGGACGATAGCCAATCCTCCTCTCGTGTCGCGGCGGGGTTACCAAAGGGCGGGCTGTATTAACATTTGAAAGTAATGGTTTGGTGAATGAAAATGGGGAGTGGCATTAGCATGCATTACATTTCATTGCACTGCATGGTTTATAATTGGAATTGATGTGCATATTGTTTTAATTCCCTATATTGCATGATCCCTATTTCCCATTGGCCTATGCTTTGTTTGGATTCACAAGGACACAAGAATTGTGTCTTAAGTGTCACCTACTGAGCTTTATGCTCACTCTACTATTTATGTTATTTTTTTCAGGTCTTGGAAATGAACCGGTGGACAACAATCCACCTCAAGCTTGAAAGTTGTTAGAAGGTTGTTTGCTATTTTGTATTTTGACGGTTTTATGTATATTCATAGGTATGGGGATGTAACGAAGATAGTATTCATGGCCTTGTAACTTAAGAACGAACTTATCTTTTGTTTGATGTAAATGAAACTAATGGAATTATGGTATATGTTTCCATGCAATTGTATCATGTAACGTTATAAGACAAGGACTTTAAATTTTAACCATGTATTTTGGGACTGTAATTATGATAATTTAGATTAATTGGTGTGTGGATGTTCCACCATGAGAGGAACTATGTTGAGGTATAATGAACGGATGAATGGGATGCTGGATGATATTATGTGTTTTGTGTATTGGGACAGGTTGTTGAAGGCCCATTTTTAGGGAAGGTTATGCCGAATTTTTTTAAAATTTTGGCATCAGCTAAGGTCGTTACAGAATCCAGCTCACACATGTGCAAGTGCTGAGATCCGGCCGATGTCGTACAGCACCTACAACACCACAACAAAAGGATCTTGGTCCCATGGCCTTATAATGAGGCTTCAACTTTGGGAATTGGGTTGTTCCAAAGAGTTCTCATGAGAAGCAAGATATGAGCGCATGCCCATTAATAACGCTACCTTGCAATCAAAGTGTATCATCAATTATATGTGTAAAATGTTGAAGTTTGGTTAAGGATATGGATTCAAAACATAGTTCACCCATATCCCTCAAATGGAAATATTAACAGATAAGTGTAGGTTTAAGTCGACGCCTCCGCCAGGGGCAAAGCCAAGATTTTATTTTAGGGGTGGCATAGTATAAAAAAAAATGAAGAGGAAGAAGGAGAGTAAGAAGGAAAAGAAAGAAAAAAAAATAGGTAAATTATTAAGGAAAAAATAATTTTAGGGGGCATTATATAATATTTTACAAAATCTCCGGGGACAGTATGCGAATTTTTATAAATTTTATACATAAATATATCTAATGGCCAGGACCCACAATAACAAGGGGTATTATTGCCATTTAATAAAGTATAGTCTAGATATTGGAGTATTTCTCAACAAAATGTGATAGTTTATTAGATACAGTATACAAAATATAATTTAAAAGGGTTATTTGTAAATTTTGTAACAACTCGAACCAGAGGGTCGGAATCGCTAACCGGGTCCTTACCCGAATTGGAGGTCGTCTAAGCGCATTATGTTAATTCCAACGTCGATACATGATATACGTGCCATCCCAAGGCTATACAAAAAAATAAGATTACTAATATAAAGAATGTCAAAATAGTTCACTAACCTCATCTAAACTTGTGGAGGAGTGTCATCCACCACTTCTTTCTCGTGAACTGAAAAAAAAAAAATTTATATAATGGGTTGAGCACAGCCACTCAGTAGGAGGTATCTAAGACACACCTCTTAATGACACCGTAAATCCATACAAAGTATAGGATAAAAGAAGTACGGGATCATATCATTGGGGAAAAGAAAAACACAACAACGATAACAATATCATCAACAACTACAAAACAGGTTATCCAACCATATGTATACAATGCATGCCAGTATAATGCAATGATATACCAATGTCGCTCTTTATTTCCGAAACATTTCCGTCTTACTGTTCCAAATCGTTAATGCAATCTGACCCATAGCACCTCTATGGTGCCACAAGAGAAGGATTAGCTAGCTATCCCTGACCACATAGCATCTTCATGGCGCTGTTCTAGGCCTAGGTAGCTCAGCCATGCTAGGGTCTCTTCCTAATTCTCTAGATTACATTAACGCTACAGACCACTAGGCACCTCCTAGGCATCCGGGTTTTCACATACCACTTTTCAAAAATATTTTCCCAAATAATTTTTCATTTCATTTCAAAACAAATTTCCATTTTTCTTGCCCAATGCAATGCATGAATGCTTCATGTTTTCAATATCATGCCAATAATAAATTTTAGTTTTATTTATTTATTTATTATTATTATTATTATTATTTCACATTGCATTCGAATTCAACAACATAGCATAGCATGCTTGTAAAAAAAATCTTCTAAAAAGCACATTCTACTTTCACATATTATCGATATCATTTAAGCATGTTCACAATATAATTTTCCACACAACATCACATTCTCATAAATATAAATCATGGCATTTCAACAAAAGGCATATAGAGATAAATCAACCAAGGTCATATATCATCACCACAACTCGATTAAACATGCAATTTAACATATTCAACACTTAAAACACCTCTCATGCTTAATAGACATATAAAATTAAAATAGTTATAAAACGATTATACTAAATTAGCATGTTTTTAGTCAAAAAAAAAAAAAAAATTTCCCCAAAATCCAAGAATATGTTGTTTAGAAAACCCCTACCTCACAAATGAAGAGCAAAATAAGAGAAACCCCAAAATCCTGAAATCCAAAAGGTGGCCAATTGAAACTATGCTCTGATCAAAACGTCGGTCTTGATGCACTCGTCAACTTTGCCTCAAGTGGCAAAGCCCAATTCTAAATTTATAAGTGTGGATCTTAGCTTGAATTGGTGTAAAAAGAAAAAGAAAAAAAAGAAAATAAGAGAGAGGAGAGAAACTGCCGAAATGAGACAGTGAGAATGGGTCTGTGATGACTCTACGTCATTTGTAATGTTTTAACATGATTGTCCCACAACTTATATATATATATATATATATATATTTTTTTTTCTTTTTTCACCTTTATATATATATATAAATACTAAATATTATACAACCACCCATCCAAGCATGTATCTACATAAATATGCATCAAATAAATATGTATGAATATAATGGACCCGAAAAATAATCCACGTGCTCAACACTCCTGTAGCGGGTCCCACCTGGGACCTCTCAGTCCAAAAAACGAAAAAATACCGAAATGACAACCAATGCATTTTTAAGAGTCATAGATTCAAGGAAATGTTCCAATCAATACTCTGGCACACTCGACACACCCCACGGTGTCCGGCACGCAAAATGAGAAAAGACAAAAATACCCTAAAAAAAATTAAAAAATTCTAAAAAATGAAAAATGGCAAAAATCGAAAATATTACAAATTCGAACATAATTTAGATAAATAATTAATATAATAAAATATTATTTTTAATACAACTAATATATATATATATATATATATATATATATATATATATATATATATATTATTACCCATGGGTCACTATCCAATCCAATTAGAATCCCTTCTAAATAGTTTAAGATCCATCTAATTGGCCCAAAGACTATAAACCCAATCCATCCCCTTCTAAAAAAAATAAAATAAAAATAAAACAGTCCATTTAACTAAACAATTAAACACACGGATACATCACACATAAAATTAATTTAAAACAGTAAGTTAAAAGATTTTTGAAAAATTAGAAACGTAATTATGCAAATGTTGAATTTAATTTGTTTAGCTTTTTAAAATGTAAAACTAATTTGTGACACTTTAAAATTATAGGACATAGGAGTAAAATTTATTTTAAATATGAGAGACATTCATGTATTTATTTAAGGTATTTTTTTATATTAAAATAATAATAATAATAATAATTAAAAAAAAAAAAAAAAAATCAAGGATTAATTGCAGAATCGCCATTGGTGAAAGCCCTTTCCCTTCTTGGTAAAGGGGGTCTTGGGTTCCTTTCCAACCAAATATTGTACACAGTAGCTGCAAGGGTGAGTTTGCAATTGAAGCTCTATAATTGCCAACTCTCTATTCTTCCAATGCTGATCAGCAGCCCAGGCAAGAAGATCGGTCAAGAGGATGGGAGGATGTAAAAGGGCACAACATGTTTGAATGAATGACCAAATGGGGGAGACACATAGGAACATGAGAAGAAAAGATGGCATAGGTTACCCGATTGCCTATTTCTCATTGGTCGGTCTTCTATCCATAGTTGGCAGCTTCTTGTGGATGGCCTCCCACAAAATGAAGTTGTGTTCAAGAATGCTCGGATTGAACCAGGTGAGCAATAGCGTCTGATGCTGGTGAAGTGGTTTAAATGTTTGGCTGATGGGGTAACTCACCATTCGGAGAAGGAATCCATCTAAGCTTGTGGTTCCTGCTGGAGCATGGAGAGGGCAGCGATAGATGGTATGCCAAGTTGAGAAATGATTCGTAGCAATGCTGGTGGGAAAGCCCAAGCTGAGTCCACAATGAAAGAGCTGAGTGGTGATTTCTTGTGGGCAGAGAGGACCTAGTGAGGACCGTCAAACCAAAAATTGGATTGGATTGCATTTCCAATTTCTAACCTGACAAGAGGTCTAATGGCCAGCCTAAGTTGAAGTATCTTCCTCCAGGACCAAGAGCACTGCCCTGGGATGGCTACTTCCCAAATGCTTCTGCCCTTGAGAAGGTAAGCATTTGTCCATAACATTTCTTTAGCTGTGAGTATATTCCATAGCTCCTTCATGATGGCACATTTGTTCCAAAAATGTAGGTTTGGAAGCCCTATACCTCCAGATTTCTTTGGAAGGCAGATTGTTGTTGAGGAGACCTTGGCACTCTTCGACTTGAGCTTAGGACCTGACCATAAGAAGGCTCGGAAAACACTGGTGATTTCATTTAAGATACTCTTGGGTAAAATGAATTTAGTACTCCAATAGAATTGGGTGATGAATAGGACAGCCCTGATTAACTGTAAACTACTTGCAAAAGACAATGCTCCACTTGTCCAATGCCTAATTCTGCTTGAAATTTTATCAGTGAGTATTCTGCAGTCAATAGCATTTAACTTGGTAGAGATTAAAGGAACCTCTAAACACTTTACTGGTAGCAATCCTTTAACAAATCCAGCAAGTGAATGGATAGTAGCCTCAACAGAACTATTGAAACCAGAGAGGAAAATGAGGATTTTGCTATGGTTAATGTGCAGTCCTGACAGAGATGAAAACTTTTCAATACCCTTAAGTAGTATAGAGACTGGGGTAGGGCTACCATGACAAAAACAACATAATTTTTACTGGGGTTGGGCTACCATTACCCATAACTCACGTTTACTTTTTTTTTTATTTTTTAAAATGGAAGGTCGAGTTCAAGACCCCATAAGGGGAAAGTGAGTATGTAAATGTGTTTCTTGCCAAGAAAAACTCATGTATACTTTACTCTCTCTCTCGTACTAATGAGAGAGAAAAGAATGGAAATTGTGGGCTGAAAAAAAAAATGGGGAAAAAAAAAAAGAGTATGGAAACTGAAAGAGAGGAAAAGAAAAGAAAAGAAAAGAAAGAAAAACCAAAGCATTGGGTTATGAAGAAAACTAAAAGAACAAATACCAAGTGTCAGTCATCCTTTGTGATTTGGAGATCCCATTAAGAACGTTCAATGGGTAGAAATAATCTCTATTGCATGACTCGTGTACAACACTTTGTTATTAGGAGATTTCTCAAGGAGATTCTCTCATGTTCGTCCCTATGACACAGTATTGTTTGATATGATGTTAGAAAGGGCATTGCCCTGAATGAATCTGAGGCGGGCATACTCTCACAAGGTATATGTTACATAAACCCTTGGAGGATTCATCTTATTAAGTGAGAGCCTTGTGAGTTGCCGCCTACTTTGGAAATTGGGTTGTTACAATGTTTCAGAGAGTTCACATGAGAAGCAAGATATGAGCACATAGCGATCGAAATCTATCTTTAATAGTGTGAAATGTTGAAGTTTGGTTCAATGGATTGGTTTCAAGACATAGTTCACCAAACCTTTCAAATGGAGACTATTAATACTAATAAGTGTAGGTTCAAGTCCAGAAGGTACCTACGCCTGTTGCATGGTATAAAGTTGATTGATTATATATTTAGATTTTTATTAAATAGGCTGGACTGCTGGAGATAATTTAATAAAAATTATAAATAATTATTTATATTGATTTTTATTATGAGAATAGCGTCATTATTAACAAAAATGAGTTGCTCTCTAAACCTTGTAAAAGGAGGCCTCCACCACCTCTGAAATTCTAATCCTAGTGATAACTTTGTAAAACTCACGTACAGTGGGTAATACTCTCTTCTCTATTAGTACTAATTCTTTGTATGCATGTACAAGAAGAAAGAAGCCATCAGGAATGTGAGCAAGGTGTATCTATATGAATGCTTATGCACTTCTTTATTTACGTGTTTATGAGCAACAGGACAGCGACATGGTTATATCATCTTCCTTAGGACATGGTTGAAGGGGACCCCACCTACGAACATCTGGGTTGTATAGTGGAGCCAATACTCATATGTGGGGAGGAAATAGACTTTACAACAGTGCCTAACACGCCTCTCAACTTCAAAGCCCAGTTTTCTAACTTTTATCAAATATATATATATATAAATATGTGTTCTTCATTTTACTTATTGAAGTTATGCTATTTTTCTTTTCATTGTTCTATAAATTCTAAACTTTGTTAATTGTAACTTTTAAAATCATGTTTATATTAAAAGCCATCTATATATTCCTTCATTTTATAATTATATGTAGATGGATGTGTCCTTATTACTGTATTTTCATTTTCTTGATTTGTGTTCATGTTGTAAAATTTAATCTTTGAATGTTATTTAATATATTGAATGCTAAATTCTGTATGTATTGAGTGATATGCTATGTAATAAAAGATACACATTCCCCAATATAATCTTCTAGGTGCAATCTTATTTACTAGGTTTAAGATATGGTAAAAGTCAACCATTGGTACTTTGTTACCATTATGGCTGTGGGAGAATTTAGCTAAAAACATTGTTAATCCCGCTTTGGATGATCTTGCTTGTAGGATTGTATAACAAATTCAATTTGAGTAATCAATGTGTGGAATTGATACAAGTTGAACATGCTTACTTTTCATGTTATAAAAGCCCATTGGTTGTTTGTTGCATGGAAATATCAGTAATAGAGCTCAAGCTTTTGAGAAACCCCTCTAATGGCTAGTCAAATGACAACTCTTTCATGGCTTATCGTCGTCAGCCTTACCTGTACTCTGCTTATTAGCTGCATTGGAGCATCTGATGTAGATCAAAAGGCATTTTTATATATATATAAACACATTATGGTTAATATTGCTTTTAAAGTTTTTATAGCTGATAGAATTAGTTAGAACTGATCATTTTGTGGTGCAGGTATACATTGTGTACATGGGTGACCTTCCCAAGGGTAATGTCTCTGCATCATCGAATCATATGAGAATGCTGAAGGAAGTTGTTGGAAGGTCACTCCCTATACTTGTGTAGATGTGTCTATAGTATATACCATATGTTAACATGTCAAAATGTATTAGATAATATGATCTCAAGTGGTGCTCTGCAATGCAGTAATCACAAAATTGAACATGATCAATGCAATTTGTTGTTGCATTTGCATTGACTCGTACTAACACAAAAAGTTAAACATGAAGTAAAAATAGAACAAAGCTCGCCTTCTCACCAGTGAGTAGGAACCTCTTCCTCACCACTGATTTGGCATAATGACAGAATAACACGTGTCCATTTTTTAATTAAAAATAAAAGAGGGAGGAAGTTAAGATTTTTTTTTTTTTTTTCTTTGATATTAACTAATTTTTTTATAACTGGATGGATTCAACAGTAGGGCATCAGAGTCTTTACTCTATAGCTACAAGAGGAGCTTTAATGGATTTGTAGCAAAACTTACAAAGGAAGAGAAGACAAAATAGTAAGTGGGTGTTTTATAATTTCAACTAGTTACTTAATCTATCCCATGCATGATTTGTTTGTCCTCCACTTCCACTCTTAACTCTGCTTTTAACTTCCAAAAAATTCAGGCATGGCGGGAGTAGTGTCTGTGTTCCCTAATGAAAAGAAGAAACTCCACACAACAAGGTCATGGGACTTCATGGGCTTCCCTCATGGAGTTAAAAGAAGCGCTCATGAAAGCGACATCATTATTGGAATACTTGACAGTGGGATTTGGCCTGAATCTCATAGTTTCAATGACACAGGATATGGTCCACCTCGAAGAGAATGGAAGGGCTCTTGCCATTCCTCAACAAATTTCACTTGCAACAAGTACATACCAATTACATACCCATAAATTACATTAATAAATATAGTAATTGCTTGTGCTGCCACTAAAAATTTGAACACTTTTGCAGGAAAATAATAGGAGCTAAAACCTACAATACTGTAGGATCAATACCTCAGGGAGATTTTGATTCACCAAGAGATTTAAATGGTCATGGGACACACACTGCATCTCCAGCAGCGGGGAGCTTAGTCAGCCGCGCAAGCTTATTAGGCCTGGGCTTGGGTACAGCCCGGGGAGGGGTTCCTTCAGCTTGCATTGCTGTGTACAAGGTATGTTGGGCTTATGATACTTGTTCAACTGCGGATATCCTTGCAGCATTTGATGATGCAATTGCTGATGGAGTTGATATAATATCAATTTCGGTTGGGGGTTCCACTGCATGGGATTACTTTAATGATCCCATTGCCATTGGAGCTTTCCATTCTATGAAGAAGGGAGTCCTCACATCCAATTCTGCTGGTAATGATGGTCCTTATCCGGAAACCATCTCAAGTTTCTCACCATGGTCTCTCTCAGTGGCTGCTAGCACCATTGACAGAAAGTTTGTGACAATGGTGCTGTTGGGCAACAATAAGTCTTATCAGGTGAGCAAGCATGTCCTCTTCTCTTGCATATCTCTATATATTTTCACAATTCATCACCTTCCCGGCCATTATAGTTGTATCTGTTGGCCTCTACCTTATATTGGCCTCTACCGTTCAAATGAACTTTGTTATATAGTTCTGGACTCTTTTTACATATAGGGAGTCTCTATAAATACTTTCGAGCTCGAGAAACAGTACCCTCTAGTTTACGGCAGGGATATACCCAATACTGGTTTTGATGGATCCACATCCAGGTAAGGAAGAAAAAGGAAAATGTCAGATCAGAAAGTTAAAGATTTATTATATATCAATGATGATATTAATGAAAATCAAGCTTAATTATGTAGTTATGTGCTTTGATAATAGATAATTGAGTATGGAAAATGCATAAAAGAATGATCATGAAATGCAGGTACTGCATCTCAGACTCATTGAAGACGCGGGTGGAATTGGTACCATAATGAATGATGATGAAGGCAGTAAAGATTTTGGCTTTTCTTTTCCTTTGCCTGTATCCTACTTGGGCTCTAAAGATGGCCGTGGTGTTTACCATTGCATAAATTCAACTCGGTATATAGATTTCTGGACAATATTAATTTCTTTTGACACTTTATTTGATCACAACACAATTAACAATTTGGATAAAATTTACTCTACAGTAAGCCAACTGCAACTATAAAGAAAAGCATCGAAGCTGAAAACAAATTGGCTCCATATGTAGCTTCATTTTCATCAAGAGGGCCAAACCCAATTACAAGCGACATTCTCAAGGTATCTTATACACATACATACAGATATGTTGAAAATATTAAAGTTAATATGGTATCAGAGTAGGAAATATATTGTGTTCGAAGATAACTAAAATTAAAACACGCATTGGACTAAAAGAAGGCCACGCGTGAGGGCTTGAGAGTAGATGGTGGTTAACTATATATATATATATATACAAGTATGTTCTGGTTTTAAATTTGGCACACCTTGTTCATGTGCAGCCTGATTTAACTGCTCCAGGAGTGGACATCGTTACTGCATGGTTACAGGCTACCACTGTCATTGGAATAGAGGGAGACAAAAGAGTAGTTCCATACGATATAATTTCCGGCACATCCATGTCTTGCCCACATGCTACCGGAGCAGTTGCTTATGTGAAATCTTTTAATCCTGGATGGTCCCCTGCTACTATTAAGTCTGCTCTGATGACAACTGGTAATTAAATAACTTGTAATTTTCGTAAGGGATTTTAGTAAGCAACTCCAAACAAAAAGAAATAAAAAATTACTCAAGACCTTTGTTGTTATGTATTGGAATACATCCATTATTTGTAGCTAATATGCCCCTGCTTCTTTTGTTCTTTGCAACTCGTCCAATGAGCAATGTCACTAACCCTGATGCTGAGTTTGCATACGGACAGGTCATATTGATCCATTAAAAGCTGCAAAAACTGGTTTAGTCTATGATGCCAGAGAGATTGACTATGTGAATTTTTTATGTGGACAAGGTTATAGCAGCAAGTTATTGCGACTCGTCACTGGAGACAATAACAGTTGCTCTAAAGCCGACAATGGGACCGTTTGGGATCTAAATTATCCTTCCTTTGGTCTATCTTTCTAGTCTGAAAACCCCATCACCCGTATCTTCCACAGGACCGTCACAAATGTTGGTTCGCCAGTGAATGCTTACAAAGCAACTGTGGTAGCCCCTGCGGGACTTCAAATCCATGTCAAGCCGAGTGTCCTTAAATTCAAGAAACTAGGTGAGAAGCAATCCTTTGTGGTAACAGTCACAGCGAAACCACATAAGAATGTACTCTCTGGGTCATTGGTGTGGGATAATGGGGTGTCTAAAGTGAGGAGCCCCATTGTGGCACATTAAAATTTATATATGCTGGCAGAATAAATTTTTGTGTATGAATATGTTGTTTCCTTCAATATGCAATAAGACAGAAGCATGGTGTGTTTTGGATCACAATGAAGAAAATTGCCTCCTTTATTCATAGATAGCGAGCCAGTTGGCTTCCGAGTACAATGGTATAAAAGCACAATGGATTAATCAAACAAATGTGAATAAGATTAGAATGAAAATATGTAATTAACCAAGCTCTCTAGGGATTGGTATGAAGAGCCACCTTCCCTTAGACAAAGATCTGCCTTTTCCTTCAAACACATTATTCTCTCTCTCATCTCTTCCCCTTCACTCTCCACCATTAGTTTTCTGATTGCTCTTTCCACATCAACTCTTTCCAACCCATTCTCCAATTGCACCCCGACTCTCCAAACATCGCTTGCATATCTTGCACTCACCATTTGGTTATTGGAACGAGGGGAACAGATCATCGGAACTCCTTCACAAATGCTCTCCAACGTTGAATTCCATCCGCTGTGAGTCCAAAAGCCTCCTGTGGCCGGATGAGCCAGCACTTCTTGTTGGGGAGCCCATTTCACAATATGTCCCCTTCCACTCACAGCCTCCAGGAACCCATTTCGCAGTGGTTCAAGCCATTCTGAGCCAGGTATTAGTCCTGGTCGAACCACCCACAAAAACGGCTGCATGCTGTTGGCTAGTCCCCAAGCCATCTCCAAGAATTCAGTTTCATCAAATGTTGCAAGACTCCCAAAGCTCACATATATTACTGACTTGGGTGATTGTGTGTCTAACCAAGAAATGGAGCTTGGGTCTTGTGCTAATAAGCTACTTGAGGAGGCTGGAAAGTATTTATGAAATGGGCCTATAGGGAAGAGTGGGACGATAGAACGTCGGCGAAGTGTGGCCAGTGCTGGTTGTTCAAGTTCTTTGAAGGAGTTCCAAATGAATCCGGAAGAACCCTTGTTTGCTTTTACCATGCCATCTATTAGCATATATAAATCATCCTCTGGGTTTGCTATGTCCATCGTCGGAAAGTCTTTAATTTTTAGTGGAGGAAGCGCTTCAACTGGTTCTTCTGTTTGTGAATCTGAGAAGATCACTAGATGAATATGAATTATTCTGTGTAATCATATTGTCTCTTCAAAGTCAACCAAAAAAAAAAAAAACAAATTAAAATTTATCTTTTACCAATAGGACTTTTTTTTTTTTTTTACTCTTCGTATCAAAAGAAAGCTTCATCTTTAACAGACTTCCACTAATATGAGATTGAAGTCTTCTTCAGTTCCTATGTTGTGTGTATATTTTTTTGGGGGGAAGGAAAAAAATAAAATATTTGTCCTAAAAAAAAAAAAAAAAAAAGACAAGATCAGAACCAGTCACTGTGTTGGAATCAACCAGAAATTAAGAAAGAAACATCAATCAAAGTGCTAAATTGGGTAATTAACAAAATAAATAAATAAAATAATAGTACCGTTTAAGAAAATTCATGTATTAAAATTTATGAAAATTCAGTTTCCTTTATTGAAAATCCATTTTATAGATGAAAAGAATTCAAGCAGAATTCAATAATTGAGTGTTTGATACGAAACATAAGTAAAAAAACAGAGTTAGGAATGCACCTTGCTTTGGGAGGAAACCCGTCTCCCTCAGAAATGGATGGACAGCAAAAGCAAGAAAGGAAATATTACCGCTATGTAACACGAGCCTAGGGAGCTTAAGGCCATCAGCAACAGCTTGAGTGAAGTGCCAGATAGCATCTGTGATTAAGCAAGCAATGGGCTCCTCCGAAACACTAGACAACAACTGAGCCAAGCAATCGCGAAAGGGGGCGACGCAGTTGACGTTGAGGAGTGTTAACAAATCTCTGCCACGTTCTGTGGAAGGCGGGGTTTCCAGCAAGCCATCGGAAATGGGGCGGAAGGTGAAGTGTGGGTATTTGGAAGGATTGAGAGAGTTGTATTGGGTGTGAATTACAGTGATATTGAAACCTCTGGAGTGGAGGATGTTTGCTAGCTGAAGCATGGGGTTTATGTGGCCTTGCAAGGGCAGTGGGAAGACTACCAGTCTGCGACCCGTCATCTGCTGCATTCGGGTCTCTGTTGAGACCTCCATCAACCTCGGTTTTAAATAGAAGAACATGTCTGAGTCCTGCCATGAGGATTGAGGCAGTTTCACATAAAGCTACAATAATATTATCTATCTTGAATTATTGGAGTCACACATAAAGCTCCAATAATTGAGTCCGTGTCAGCGGACAAACAGACACGACAGTGTGTTTTTTAATGATTCATGTGGGGGGCCGTGTAGAATTATGTTTTTCAATGATTCAGGATGTGGGTGGGGTGTGGAATTATTCAGAGTCCTGGCCAAGCTTTCAGAGTAAGGGTTGGCATAATTTTTAGTTTTGTCCTTACAAAGATGAGAAAGAGAATTAGAATTAAAAGCAATCACTTCTATTTGACTTCTGTATTAGTGTTTGGAAATTATATTTTAGAAGAACTTTTAATGTTGAAAGAGTTTTTTTGCATGTTTGGCAAAACATTTTTTAAAATTTTTTACTATCTAAATAATTATTTTACCCTAAGATGGGGTGAATGCATATTTAAAAAAAACTATTTAGCAACATAAAGTAGTTATATTATTTTACATAACACTATTTCCTAAACACCCTAATAACCCCTTCAACATAATTTAATTATCAGAAATGCCTTATATAAGAAAAATAACTTGCTTTAAAAAAGTCAGATATTAATTTCATCTCATAACTAATACAACAAAATGAAATTTTAACAAAGTATTTACCTAAGTTCCATATCAATTTTATTCTGAATAGCTTTCATTTATCTCATTTTCAATTTCACTATCATTATCTAACACAATTAAAGAAATATATAAAGAAGAGTTGGTATAGAAAAAATAAATATAAGAATTGGGATATAAAAATAAAATACACATTTAATGAAAAATTAATTAAGTAGCATAATAAAAAAATTTGAGTTGCAGAACAACCAAGTGCATAATGATGTCATTATTTTATTTAGTGTATTTTACATATCAATTGTTTTTTATTCTTTTTATTTTTTTTTATTCCCAACTTCGTTTTTGTTTATGAACACGCTGAATCCATTTTTGTCTCCATATGGGAGGAAAAAAAAAAAAAAACACAATTCTTATTTGTCTACTTTAGCGTGGAAAAACCAACATGTGCTAAACCATAGCATATATACTAAAATTCAGATCCACCCAATATATCTTTAACCGAATATAAATATATATATATATATATATAAAGAAAGAAGAAGAAGAAGAAGATTGGGTTGAGATATAACGAGGTTAGATGATGATGGATCTCATGTAACCATGTTAAGAAGCTTCCCGAATTCTCAAGTCTCAACCAACACAATGGACTAATCTTAAGGATGAGAAAAAGGAGAGGAGGAACCTGTTGTTATGCGAACCAGACGAAAGAGACAATCTATGATGCGATTAGGTTTCTTTACATATATAAGGATACAGGTGGAATACTTTATTTTTTGTTCACAAATATGGAGGGCACGCTTGGTATTTTAAAAAAGTTTCATTAAATCCCTTAACAGCTTCCAATGTCTTGAAAAAAAGAGCGTTTCTCCAAAATGTTCTTCTAAGACTCAGAAGCTCTTTTAAAAATTTAGCCAAACACTTCTCAAAACAGCTTCCAATTCCAAAAGGCTAAAAGTAGCGTTTCAAAAGCCAATTCAAACGGGCCCTAAGAAGAATTTTTTCTTGGCTGAAATGACACTTTCAAACTTGAATCACCTTAATTAAATCATGATTGAAACCCGACCATTCTGTAGGGACAACACTAAGGACATGTCCACTAACAGGAATTAATTCTTAATTTCTACTATCAATTTCTAAAATAGAAATCAAAAGTCAAAATCATGTTTAGTAAAATATTTTTACTTTTCAATTTTAAAGAAGTACTTTATAATTTTATGAAGAGAAATTCTCACTTTCTCTATTTGTTTACTGTAGCAAGGAATTATTTCTTATTACTGTAGCCCTAATATTTGCTCTCTCTCTCTCTCTCTCCTGGTTTAACCATAAGTAAATTTGGCTGAAAGTGTATCAACGGGGGCGGCTAACAGTGACTCCAAGTGAGGCCGGACTGAATTTACCGGTGGACCGAACGGCGACGAGATTATGACGATGCGTGCAAGGAATCCGGCAATTGGGCATCAGAGAGGGATACCCAAATTTGCATCCACAAGCAATTCATAGTCAAAAGTTCTATTCCCAGTCAGTCCGTGGATTCCGACATTGGAAAGGGAGACCCAAATTCGAGTTTGTGGTTTCCATGGATTCCGGCAACTGCAACAATATATAAAGAGAGACTGACGAGGCTGAGGTCCACGATCCGACATCTAAAGAGAGAGATGGTTCACTGGGTTACTCATCTCTCACACACAATATACTAGAAACCCATGAATGGTCTCAGCAAGCATGAGGTCTCCAGAGCAAATTGAATATTGGAGGAGCTGAGGCCAGTTATTCAAGAGAAGAGTTTGGTCACTAGTACAAGTAAAATCATAATTTTACACCTTGTTTCTGGGTTGGTTGGTGCACACCGAAAATGGGTGGACTAATGGCTCGTCGGAGCAAACCAAGTTTAGTCCCGCGTTGAGAGACCCAGTTTCGTGAAGTTCCTGCTCATCCCTCCCAATGACATTGTGTTTTTTTTTGTTTGTTTTTCCTGATGCTCTATTTTATGCTAAAATCTGTTAATTGCATACAACACACACATACAGATACTCTGTACTCATCATAATTAATCCCAGATTAAAAAATATATATATATAGAAAGATAAAAAAATTTTAATAAGGGATAGATAACAGGAAAGTAAAATTAAAATCAAAATTATTAAACTTACTTTTTATTTTTATTTTTTAAATATTAAAAATAAATATCTCAAGATTTTACTTTTGAAGAAAGTAAAAGCGTTGGTGAACAGGCGCGGTGGAGTTGGAATAACTCATTCAAAGAAATTTATCGAATTAAGATGAATTTGTGTATAAATATTAGCAAGGGCGGAGCTAGGAATTCGTTTCAAGGGTGCTATATTAAAGAGGATAAATTATATTTTTTCAAGCAAATATTGCTGCAAGACAATAAGCGGAAAAATAGAACTGTAATAATGATGTAAAAATAACATTTAAAAATTTGAAAAACAATTATTTTAAAAAATGAGAAACATAAAATACTGATCTTAAGAGTCCTTTTTAGGGATGGCAACGGGGGCGGGTTTAGGCAGGTGTACCCAGCCCCGCCCTCGTAACTGTTTAAAAATTTCACCCCCGTCCCCACCCAAAACCGAAAAAACGGGGAACTTTTCACCCCATCCCCGTAATTGTTTAATATTTTTACCCCTACGGGTACCCGCTCCGCCCCGTTTAAGACCTTAATTTATTTATTATTGAAATAGATTTGCTTTTTTTTTTTTTTTCATCTTCAATTTTTCATCATTGCAACTTTCCTTTTAATCAAATTCATTTGTTATTTTAATATTGTTATATAGGGTACTTAATATATAGTGGTAAATATATATACTAATGAAACAAGGGTACTTAAGTAATTTGCCTATCTAAACGGGACGGGGCAGTGCAGGGCGACCTCCCCCCGCCCCCGCACCAAACCTGTGTGAATTTTTATTACATCAAACCATCCTCGCCCAAATAAGCAAAACGGTCCCCCAAAACCACCAAAAACTGGGCGGGTAACCGCAGGGGCGGGTCAAATTGTCATCCCTAATCCTTTTAGCAACAAATTTAATTACCAAACTTTGAAGAGAAAAAAAAAAAAAAAAAAAAAAAAAAAAGTTTGAATAAAGGAATGCAACTTTTTTTCTTTAAGAGAATATAAAAAAGAAGAAGAAGAAAAAGAAGAGGAGGAGTAAGAATGAAAAGAAAGGAAAAATTAAAGATATTTTTAAAAAGTAATTATTTTAGTGGGCATTATTGTAAAATTTTATAAATTATAGGCCTACTTGCAATAAAATTAATTGGCCCAAGGGTAAATAATTATTTCAGGGGGCATTTTTCACCTTTTTATAAATTATTGGCCTATGTGTAATAAAAATTAATGGTCGTTTTCTAGAAAAAAAAATTATTCTAGGGGGGCATTTTGAAAACTTTTATAAATCATAGGCCAATTTGTAATTAAAACTAATGAGCCAACATCGGGCAGGAGAATTTTGTGCACTTTATCCAATTTTATATTATGAATTATTAGAGCACCTCCAGCTTTGTTAAAACTCTCTTTTGTGTAAAATATATATACTGTCACGTATGATTCTCTAACCGTCTGTTAAAATACACTACCACATTACTAATGTGTTTACATAACCTTTTTACATCTTAACTGCCACACCACCAATGTGTTTACACAACCTTTTTACACAGTCACATTAGCATATTTCTTTATCCTCCATCTTTCTCATTCCATTAACAAATCAATACTATATTAAGTAGGTTTGTAAAAATTATGTGGAGTCCGCACATGATACTATTGGTAGATATATTTTTACACAAAATGTATAAATCAATACGTGGGGCTAAAAATAAATAATCTAAAATTTTTGTGTAAATTTGATAGATTTACACAATATATATATAGACACACACACACGCAATGGTTGCATGATAATATAAAGTAAATCTTATGTAAATATAATGTCATAATAGATTTAAACAAAAAAATTCTGAATTAAAAATTGCCCCTTAAACTAACAAAAATATACAATGCTTCTACAGCCGTTAACCGAAAATTGGATTGACCATTTAAGAAAATTGGGTTGACCATTTTGCTCTTAAAATAAAGGGTGAAGTGCAAAAAATATCCTTATAGTATGCTTATAGTGTATGACATTTGTGTAAATGGGTCCTCTTTACTCATTTAAGATAAAATTGGACTAAAATACTCTTATTCTCACATTTTATAAAATATATAAAAAAATAAAATTTTGTGAAATGACTAAAAAGGGTAGCAAAGCAACTCACCAGAATTAAAAATAAGAATAATACAAATAAGAATAAAAATAAAATATGAGACATCTTCTTCAAGTCAATAAGATAGTACATCTTAGAAACCTCCGTAGAGATCAGAGCATAGCAGATCGTGATAC